CACCTCTGCCAACATCTTATACACAGGAGCCATTCGTCTGCTGGATCTCACATAGTGACGCAGAGACTCAGGAATCATGTCATGATTGTGCACATTATACCAACGATAGATCTTGTAGCATTTAAACTCTTTAAACCACCTGATTCGAATATAAGCACCATTGCATCCACCCCTGAGTTCTGGAACATTACGAACACGGACATTCGTATCAACAACACCTGCATTATCAGGGTTATTCTCGCTACCTCTTCTCCAACCTTCCTTATTGCAACAATACTTGATATAATATACAGCTGAAGAACCACCATTGAGCTTCGGACACGCTGATTGTTGGTAAATCCTCACACCAAAACCTTCATGATTCCCATAATCCACATAGAAATTGTATGCATCATCCGGTGTATTAAACTGTAAGTCCTTCCAAGAATCACGAACAGTATGATCTATACCATTGAAAACTATAAACATTATGAAGCAACATATTAAATATGTACAAATATAATACCACCATGGTATGATATGGTAAAATGAATTTCATGTCACAACAGAATCACATCTCATCATATTACCACACTATACCACATGGTATGGCCTGGTAAAATCAAATTACCACACTATACCATATGGTATGACATGGTAAAATCAAACTACCACACTATACCACATGGTATGACATGGTAAAATCACTTACAGCAGCAACAAAAATCCCAAAAACCCACACTATACCACAAACTATACATGATAACATCAAATTACCATATTTTACCACATGATATGACATGGTAAAATCAATTATCACACATAACCCCACCTTTAACTTGAAACTACCACACTATACCACATGGTAAAGCATGGTAAAATCAAATTACCATATTTTACCACATGGTATGACATGGTAAAATCATATTTTACCACAACAGAATCACATCTCATCATATTACCACACTATACCACATGGTATAGCATGGTAAAACCAAATTACCACACTATACCACATGGTAAGGCATGGTAAAATCAAATTACGACACTATACCGATGATTCCAACCATGGTACAAGTAATTACCACCATGGTATGATATGGTAAAACTTAAATACAGAGCACAATAACATCACAACACAACACTATATTATCACCTCTCATCGTATACCAGTAATTACCACCATTGTACCATATGATATCTAACACATTCAAACTTCAATAAACAAACAAATTTGTATATCTTACCTCCTGATTCACCAGAGTTAGCTGAATGACCAAATCCAAGATCGATAGATGAAGAAGCAGTTCCAACAACGCTAGATGAAGAACCAGATCCTACAAAGCTGGTTAAAGAACCAGATCTATCAAATGGAACAACATCGCCACAATTTACGTAACTCATCTCACCAGAATACTGCAAAAAAAACCAAAACACAAAGCACATAACACATGAACAAGCTCGATTAGCTAAACAGAACACACAAAAGAAACTCAGAGAAGGTAAATTCTACAAAACCTACAACGAAACCAGAGAAACTCAAACACGCTCGATTAGCTAAACATGAACAAGCTCGAATAGCAGCAATGAAAAACCTCCAACGAAACCAGAGATCGTCAAAACGCTCAACAAAACCAAAGATAAACAGAAAACTCGATTAGCTAAACAGGAAGAATCAAAAAAACTAATATCTAACCTCGCCGTCGATCAATTATGGAGAATCAGAAAGCTCGATTCGATTAGCTGCTACTCGCAGTCTCCATCGCCGTCGATCAATTATGGAGAATCAGAAAAGATTCGCCGTCACCTGTTTCTCAGCTGCTGCTCGCAGCTTTCTCTCTCCAAAAACGGAATTCAACTCGCGCACACGTCGATCAATTAGGGAGAATCAAAAACCTCGATTCGATTAGCTGCTGCTCGTCGATCAACTATGGAGAATCGCCGTCCCCTGTTTCTCAGCTGCTACTCGCAGTTTCCCTCTCCAAAATCCGAATCCAACTCGCGCACAGAAAAAGATCCGCAACGGACAAAAGGGGGAAGTCGTTAATTCAAATTTCGGACAAAATTGCCCCTGACCATCACCGCATCAACCACAGCCACACGATCAGCCCGGCCCAGATCTACGGTCCTAAGGTGGTTACTCACGGGTGAGTAACATAGGGTTACTCACCCTATCCCCAGCCATTCTCTGCATATCGTAGGTGAGAGATACAAAAGGTTATAAGAAGATAATAGAATGATACTGAGACCCAACAGTTACGTTTTCATATCGAAATACCTCAACCACTAAATCATTATCATTCAGTTAGTACATGTATAATAATATTAATCGACATTTTCATTCGTCAATATTATGCACTTTAAATATCACACACTATATATTTCTTTTTATCCTTTTTTATTTTTATTTTTGCTTTAGGGAACATACAAATCTTTTCCAATAAAGATTTCTAAGTCAAAGACCAAAAAGAAACATAAATTGAAAACACACATGAGTATGCCTAGGGGTGAACAAAGTCACCCGAAACCCGACCCACCCGAACCAACCCGAAACTCGAGTAAAGCTAAGTGAAATGGGTGGGTGAGGGTGCTGGCTCAAGACCCACTGATTTTCTGGGTTGGTTTCGGGTTTGGGGTTCTGAAACCCGAGAAACCCAACCCAACCTAGTCACTTGCATAGAAACCAAACGTCATCCTATTGTATTTATATATATATGTCTATGAAGATAGCCTAGGGTTTTCCCCATCCTATTTTGCAGTTCAGCGGCGGAATGTGTCTACCCCCTTCTCTCTATCTCGTTCATTCTCAAATCTCAACCCTCTCAATTGTGGCAGCCTTCTCTCACCATCCCAACCAATTCACCTTCACAAGATTTTAGCCCTTTTAATTTAATGCGTTTGACTTGAAGTTTGATCGCCAATTACAGTATATCATCTGCAGCAGATCTAAACCCCCAATCTTCCTTATGTTTCTTTCATCAATGGAAGCCAATGGCAGCGCGAAGCAAGGGGAGAAAAGCATGATTTCCTGACTTTTGATCTACAACGAGACATCAGATCAAGAGCAACACGCTTTCTTGTCCTTCGAAGATGTACAAAGGCTCACTGCTTCAGTCATTCTACGACCGTAGGCTCCACCGCCCGAATCTGCGAGAACTTCATAACTCTGTCGCTCCTCTTTTTAGAAAATCCGACTCTTTACTCTTTACCATGTATAAAGTGTGGTTCGGGTTTTGACGGGTTCATCATATACCCAAACCGACCCAATGTTGCATTAAACCGACATGGTCCTAATTTTTTCTGGTGGGTTCGGATTTATAGTTGTTAAAACCAACATAGACGAATCGGGTTGTCAAAATCGTTCAAAACCGACCCACCCGACCCACGTTCACCACTAAGTATGCCCTTGTTTCTAATACCATGTCAAGAAACAATTAATCCCAATAATTTGAATTTTTGAAAAAATATTTTTGTATGCATCAAATATCATTTACTAACATCATAAAAAATTTAGTTCTACAGTAATCAATTAAAATTATGTATTAATTTTTGACTACGTAGGACTAAGAATCAAATCCCGATTTCCAGATACAAGTCATTCTCACCATAAGCTACAGACTACCTGCCTCCCAAGGGGCCATAGCCCACAACATGCGACTCATCGCACCGGCCAACCTCAACCCACAACCTAATTAGTCTATCCCCACAGGCCACAACCAACTTACCCACTAACCTAGCCCAGCCCAGCCACAATCCTAATTCCAACATTTGAATTGAAATAAGCAATCACTAGATATCAACCCCAAATTGCTTACTCGAAGACACCCTTAGCCAATTTTCTGGTTCCGCCACTAGTAACAAGTCATGAGGGCGACATTATCATATAATAATAATATAAGAATTACTAGATAACAACAAATTAAGAAAACTAACAAATTAAAGATTTTACATATATCATATATATTGATCTCAATAGTGCGTGCGGTTCATCGTGCCAAATCGAACGCTAAGGCAAAAAGCAAACAACAAGCTAAACAACAACATTACAGCACTGTAAAGATAACAATCCTACTAAAATTAATGTCGATAATAAAGAGAAGCTAATTAGCTAGCTTGAATCCAGTCGAATCAGTATAATAAATAAAGCATATAATAATAATAATAATCATCCCGACGTCATATGGCGGCTTCTGGTGGCGGTGGTGGTAGCTGTATCTGGTGGGCCGGGTACCATTCTAGGGAACATTGGTGGGAAACTCGACCCAAACACCGCAAGAGTCCACAATCAAGAACTCCCTAATCGAACGGCCCATATTCCCCTCCTCGCCGTCAATTCGCCCGCCGACCCATCGAGCTCGGCCCACCGCAGCTGGTCCGCCACAAGCCCCTTGAACTGGGCCAACGTGGTCGTCTCCTTGCACTGGACCACAGCCTCCCAGTGATCGAACTACGGGTGCAAATACCTCAAGTACACAGTGATGGATCTTCCAACTGGTAGAAAATTTGTTGTTGTTATTATTGTTGTTGTTGAGGCTGTTCCTCATTGCCTTGGTTCTGCGCATCTGCAACTTGATTGTCGGCCACTGGAGGCAGAGGCTCGGGTTCTTGAGGCTCTGATCCCATAACGAAGGATCTGAGATGTGAAAACCCTAAAACTTGTCTTCATTTCAGTTGGACAATTACATATATATGCAGCAGATTCACTACAAGACAGTGGAATGAAACCCTAAAACAACAGTTAGCTTGAACAAAAAGGAAACGAAAAAACAAATAAAGCCAGAACGACATCGTAGAGAAGAGACGGTGCAAATTGATAATGTGAGCTCCAAATTAAAGAATTACTAGATAATAATAATATAAGAATTACTAGATTACAACAAATTACTAGATAATATATATTGATCTCAATAGTGCGTACAGTTCATCGTGCCAAATCGAACGCTAAGGCAAAAAGCAAACAGAAAGCTAAACAACAACATTACAACACTATAAAGATAACAATCCTACTAAAATTAATACCGACAATAAAGAGAAGCTAATTAGCTAGCTTGAATCCAGTCGAATCAGTAACATAAATAAAGCATATAATAATAATAATAATAATCATCCTGTCGTCACATGGCGGCTTCTGGTGGCGGTGGTGGTAAGCTGTATCTAGTGAGGTCGGGTACCATTCTGGGGAACATTGGTGCGAAACTCGACCCAAACACCGCACGATTCCACAATCAAGAACTCCCTAATCAAACAGCCAATATTCCCCTCCTCGCCATCAATTCGCCTGCCGAACCCTCCTTTGAAGATGGCCATCCCATCGGACTCGGCCCACCGCAGCTGGTCCGCCACAAGCCGCTTGAACTGGGCCAACGTGGTCGTGTCCTTGCACTGGACCACGGCCCCCCAGTGTTCGAACTGCGGGTGCAAAGACCACAAGTACACAGTGATGGATCTTCCAACTGGTAGAAAATTTGTTGTTGTTGTTGTTGTTGTTGTTGTTGAGGTTGTTCCTCATTGCCTTGTTGCTGCGCATCTGCATCTTGCTTGTCGGCCATTGGAGGCAGCGACTAGGGTTCTTGAGGCTCTGATCCCATAACAAAGAATCTGAGACGTGAAAACCCAAAAACTTGTCTTCATTTCAGTTGGACCATTACATATATAGGCAGCAGATTCACAACAAGACAGTGGAATGAAACCCTAAAACTACAATTAGCTTGAACAAAAAGGAAACGAAAAAACAAATAAAGCCAGAACGACATCGTAGAGAAGAGACAGTGCAGATTGATAATGTGAGCTCCAAATTAAAGAATTACTAGATAATAATAATATAAGAATTACTAGATAACAACAAATTACTTGATAACAAATAATAATAATAAGAATTACTAGATAATAATAATAATAATAAAAACAAATAATAATAATATAAGAATTACTAGATAACAACAAATTAAGAAAACTAACAAAATAAAGATTTTATATATATATCATATATATTGATCTCAATAGTGCGTGCAGTTCATCGTGTCAAATCGAACGCTAAGGCAAAAAGCAAACAACAAGGTAAACAACAACATTACAACACTATAAAGATAACAATCGTACTAAAATTAATAACGATAATAAAGAGAAGCTAATTAGCTAGCTTGAATCCAGTCGAATCTGTAACATAAATAAAGCATATAATAATAATAATCATCTCGTCGTCACATGGCGGCTTTTGCTGGCGGTGGTGGTAGCTGTATCTGGTGTGGTCGGGTACCATTCTGGGGAACATTGGTGCGAAACTCGACCCAAACACCGCACGATTCCACAATCAAGAACTCCCTAATCGGACGGCCCATATTCCCCTCCTCGCCAACAATTCGCCCGCCGAATCCTACTCTAAAGATAGCCATCCCATCGGGCTCGGCCCACCGCAGTTGGTCCCCCACAAGCCGCTTGAACTAGGCCAACGTGGTCGTCTCCATGCACTGGACCACGGCCCCCCAGTGTTCGAACTGCGGGTGCAAAGACCTCAAGTACATAGTGATGGATCTTCCAACTGGTAGAAAATTTGTTGTTGTTGTTGAGGTTATTCGTCATTTCCTTGTTGCTGCGCATCTGCAGCTTGATTGTCGGCCATTGGAGGCAGCGGCTAGGGTTCTTGAGGCTCTGATCCCATAACAAAGGATCTGAGACGTGAAAACCCAAAAACTTGTCTTCATTTCAGTTGGACCATTACATATATAGGCAGCAGATTCACAACAAGACAGTGGAATGAAACCCTAAAACTACAATTAGCTTGAACAAAAAGGAAACGAAAAAACAAATAAAGCCAGATCGACATCGTAGAGAAGAGACGGTGTAGATTGATAATGTGAGCTCCAAATTAAAGAATTACTAGATAATAATAATATAAGAATTACTAGATAACAACAAATTACTAGATAACAAATAATAATAATAATTACTAGATAATAATAATAAAAACAAATAATAATAATAATATAAGAATTACTAGATAACAACAAATTAAGAAAACTAACAAATTAAAGATTTTATGTATATCATATATATTGATCGCAATAGTGCGTGCAGTTCATCGTGCCAAATCGAACGCTAAGGCAAAAAGCAAACAGCAAGATAAAGAACAACATTACAACACTATAAAGATAATAATCCTACTAAAATTAATACCGATAATAAAGAGAAGCTAATTAGCTAGCTTGAATCCAGTCGAATCAGTAACATAAATAAAGCATATAATAATAATAATAATCATCCCGACGTCACATGGCGGCTTCTGGTGGCGGTGGTGGTATCTGTATCTGGTGTGGTCGGGTACCATTCTGGGGAACATTGGTGCGAAACTCGACCCAAACACCGCACGAGTCCACAATCAAGAAATCCCTAATCGGACGGCCCATATTCCCCTCCTCGCCGTCAATTCGCCCGCCAAACCCTACTCTAAAGATGGCCATCCCATCGGGCTCGGCCCACCGCAGCTGGTCCCCCAGAAGCCGCTTGAACTGGGCCAACATGGTCGTCTCCTTGCACTGGACCACGGCCCCCCAGTGTTTGAACTGCGCGTGCAAAGACCTCAAGTACACAGTGATGGATCTTCCAACTGGTAGAAAATTTGTTGTTGTTGTTGTTGAGGTTGTTCCTCATTGCCTTATTACTGCGCATCTGCAACTTGATTGTCGGCCATTGGAGGCGCGGCTAGGGTTCTTGAGGCTCTAATCCCTTAACAAAGGATCTCAGATGTGAAAACCCAAAAACTTGTCTTCATTTCAGTTGGACCATTACATATATAGGCAGCAGATTCACTACAAGATAGTGGAATGAAAACCTAAAACAACAGTTAGCTTGAACAAAAAGGAAACGAAAAAAAAAATAAAGCCAGAACGACATCGTAGAGAAGAGACGGTGCAGATTGATAATGTGATCTCCAAATTAAAGAATTACTAGATAATAATAATATAAGAATTATTAGATAACAACAAATTACTAGATAACAAATAATAATAATAAAAATTACTAGATAATAATAATAATAAAAACAAATAATAATAATATAAGAATTACTAGATAACAACAAATTAATAAAACTAACAAATTAAAGATTTTATGTATATCATATATATTGATCTCAGTAGTGCGTGCAGTTCATCGTGCCAAATCGAACGCTAAGGCAAAAAGCAAACAGCAAGGTAAACAACAACATTACAACACTATAAAGATAACAATCCTACTAAAATTAATACTGATAATAAAGAGAAGCTAATTAGCTAGCTTGAATCCAGTCGAATCAGTAACATAAATAAAGCATATAATAATAATAATAATAATAATAATAATAATAATAATAATCATCATCCCGACTTCACATGGCGGCTTCTGGTGGCGGTGGTGGTAGCTGTATCTAGTGAGGTCGGGTACCATTCTAGGGAACATTGGTGCGAAACTCGACCCAAACACCACACGGGTCCACAGTCAAGAACTCCCTTATCGGACGGCCCATGTTCCCCTCCTCGCCGTCAATTCGCCCGCCGAACCCTCCTGTGAAGATGGCCATCACATCGGGCTCGCCCCACCGCAGCTGGTCCGCCACAAGCCGCTTGAACTGGGCCAACGTGGTCGTCTCCATGCACTGGACCACGGCCCCCCAGTGTTCAAACTGCGGGTGCAAAGACCTCAAGTACACAGTGATGGATCTTCTAACTGATAGAAAAATTTGTTGTTGTTGTTGTTGTTGTTGTTGTTGTTGTTGTTGTTGAGGTTATTCCTCATTGCCTTGTTGCTGCGCATCTGCAGCTTGATTGTCGGCCATTAGAGGCAGCTGCTAGGGTTCTTGAGGCTCTGATCCCATAACAAAGGATCTGAGATGTAAAAACCCAAAAACTTGTTTTCATTTCAGTTGGACCATTACATATATAGGCAGCAGATTCACTACAAGACAGTGGAATGAAACCCTAAAATAACAGTTAGCTTGAACAAAAAGGAAACGAAAAAACAAATAAAGCCAGAACAACATCGTAGAGAAGAGACGGTGCACATTGATAATGTGAGCTCCAAATTAAAGAATTACTAGATAATAATAATATAAGAATTACAAGATAACAACAAATTACTAGATAACAAATAATAATAATAATTACTAGATAATAATAATAAAAACAAATAATAATAATAATAATAATATAAGAATTACTAGATAACAACAAATTAAGAAAACTAACAAATTAATTATTTTATATATAACATATATATTGATCTCAATAGTGCGTGCAGTTCATCGTGCCAAACCGAACGCTAAGGCAAAAAGCAAACAGCAAGCTAAACAACAACATTAGAACACTATAAAGATAACAATCCTACTAAAATTAATACCAATAATAAAGAGAAGCTAATTAGCTAGCTTGAATCCAGTCGAATCAGTAACATAAATAAAGCATATAATAATAATAATCATCCCGTCGTCACATGGCGGCTTTTGGTGGCGGTGGTGGTAGCTGTATCTGGTGAGGCCGGGTACCATTCTGGGGAACACTGGTGCGAAACTCGACCCAAACACCGCACGAGTCCACAATCAAGAACTCCCTAATCGGACGACCCATATTCCCCTCCTCGCCGTCAATTCGCCCGCTGAACCCTCCTCTGAAGATGGCCATCCTATCGGGCTCGGCCCACCGCAGCTGGTCCGCCACAAGCCGTTTGAACTGGGCCAACGTGGTCGTCTCCTTGCACTGGACCGCGGCCCCCCAGTGTTCGAACTGCGGGTGCAAAGACCTCAAGTATACAGTGATGGATCTTCCAACTGGTAGAAAATTTGTTGTTGTTGTTGTTGTTGAGGTTGTTCCTCATTGCCTTTTTGCTGCACATCTGCAGCTTGATTGTCGGCCATTGGAGGCAGCGGCTAGGGTTCTTGAGGCTCTGATCCCATAACAAAGGATCTGAGATGTGAAAACCCTAAAACTTGTCTTCATTTCAGTTGAACCATTACATATATAGACAGCAGATTCACTACAAGACAGTGGAATGAAACCCTAAAACAACAGTTAGCTTGAACAAAATGGAAACGAAAAAACAAATAAAGCCAGAACGACATCGTAGAGAAGAGACGGTGCACATTGATAATGTGAGCTCCAAAGAACCAGAACGGCAGTGTATTGATCATCTTCTTCAATCATGTTCATAAAAGCGGGGTAGCCGTTGCGTTCAAATTTTTAATCGTCGTCGACTGTTAGGTGGCATGGGAATTAATGAAGAGTTGGAAATGGGTCTGGTTCTGCAAAGAAATAATAAATTGGTTGTTGGATTACTTTTTTGTGTTAAGCGCTTTGTAACACCCTAACCCGGCAGGGTACTACTTTTACCAAAATACCATTGTTAAACTAAAAATACTCTACAACAATGTTACTAAAATGTGCGGGAAAACTTTTCATAAACAAAATACTGAAATCACTTTCTTGTATTTTAGAGCAACACCCTAACACATGGGCAACCTCAAACCTTAATCTCCAGTCTTACTACTAAACATAAAGTACAATAACTAGAAGTCCCAACAAATGCTTGCTCTGATCCGATCGCTGACGTCCTCCGCGATGCTTGTACCGTTCTCCTCTAGCA